TCCTCTAGGAGCACAATCGATTCTTGTGAATTATGGATGCACGGACTCTTCATTAGTCGTTAAAACAGAGGCACTAAAAATGACTGGTTAATAAACCTGAACAAATTCAACAATGGATAGATAAAAAAATAATTTAGTTTCAAACATCACCAGCATTGTTTTGAGAAAAAAAAAGTTAACTGTTGAAGAATTTCTCAATTTTGAGGGCTCAGATGAAGCTGATGGTAAATAAAGAGATTTTTAACCCTTCGTGGAGAATCCTTTGCAAAATGAACCCATGGACCTGAGCACAGAATGGATTTCCTCCTTTGTGCTGTATGAGGCTCCTTCTGCTTTTATTTCAATCTTCAGCAGTGAAATGCAGCTGCATCATCTTGACATCTGCTCTCTGAATGTTCCTCCTGGTCTTCATGTGAAGCTGTGCTGCATATGTGGACAGACATGCTATAGTCTGAAAGCCTGAAGATACTTGACAAAACTAATCAGAACAGCCAAATCAGAACAGTAACACCAGATCACTGAAACGTCATATTTATCTCAAACAAAATGTCAAAACATGTTGATGTGTGTACTTGTAATCATAGTTCTCCAAGTTACATAGCTTTCAAATGCTTCACTCACAGGTCCGCCTGGACGCCATGAAGGACAAGGAGGAGGCTTCAGATGAGCAAGAGGAAGATGAGTAAGAACCTGTAATCCATGTAGCAGCCTCTCCTCCTCCTCCTCACTGGGTTTCTGTGTGCTGTTTGTCCCGAGTACTGCCTGCAGGTTGCAGAGCAGTTCATTCCCGTCAGTAATGAGATTATTGGAGTCCAATTGTCAAGTGCATGTTTGTGCCTTCAGTACTTACAGTTAGTTTGGAGAAGACCCGAAGTTGATAGAGGGGATCAACTTTGGGGGACTACTGCTACATTAACCCCGCCCCCTTTCCCCCACCTTTCCACCAGATTAGAGTTGCTGAAACAGATGCCCAAAAAACCAGAAATTTTGCAGGTAATCACCAGAAGTCTAGCTCAGCAGCATAAACAGTCTGCTGGTTAAGGACCCCGCTGCATTGTGTGGTCACACACGAGCAGGTTAGTCTACCGTGGCGTTCTCTCCTGCAGTCTGAGCTTCTATTCTTACATCTCTGCAGTGACTCTTGATAATCCAGACTCTCCTCTTTTAATCCTATTGAAGTAAAGCAAAGATGGTGATTTGGAGGTCCGACAGCACTAGAGCGGCAGTCTCATGCGCTCTAATCTGGATCAGATTGTCAAACGATGTCTCCAGGATCTTTCAGAGTTCTCCAGGAATGGAACCATCAATTTTGGTGGCGAATGTGCTGGTTTTTGTTTTGGTCTAGGTGTTCTCAGAGTGACAGTAGCAGAGATTCTGTGCTACTTAGTCTCTTCAAGATTTAAGGGGAGGAGCCAAAAGTCATATGAGCGAATCAGAGCTCATGATCTCTGACCAGGTGATTTGTGGCCCAGTAACATAAATGCAACAGATTAACCCGTCAGCATGATGTCTGATTTCCTGAGAGGGGCCATCACTTTTTCCATCACTTAATACCGTCATTAAGAAGAGGCACAACTAATGTGTCTATGCGAGCTGATTTGCAATGTGCACCCTGGCGCGGCCATTTATTTTTTGATGCACCTTCTCAGATTAATTCACTGCGTTTCGTGCCCAGGGCTGGACTGGGACAAAAAAAACCCAAAAAAAACAGCCCGGGCATTTTGACTAAAGACCGGCCCACCAGGTATTAAAGCCATAAAGCCTCTGAATGAAAACAAACGCTGTTGGTATATGTATGATTTCTAT